ACTGAACAGAATTAACCACAGAAATGTTTATTTTTAGTGGTGATAAGTCGGCGCGGACAAACAAAGGGAAACACGTTAATGCTGTTACATCACTTCAGTCTCAGATGGATCCTGTACGAGGCACAGACTGTTTGTTTGTTTATTTATATATATACAGACTGTTTGTTTGTTTATATATATACAAACAGGATTTATTTATTTATTTATTTATTTAATTAAACACAAACATATTTATTTATTTAAACACTGTTTGTATTTATTTATTTATTTATGTAACTTGCTCACCAACGTGTTTCTTGCAGTTCGATGTTCGGGGGTGTCGAGAGGATCTGTGACTAATGAGACGATTGTTTTAGCTCGTCTGTTCTCGGTGGGAGTCGCTGTGGGGCTCGCTCACAGGAGAGGGAGGAGACAGAGCGACCGCGCCCGCTGACCTCGGCCGTGACACCAGATGTGTTACTGCAGCCTCTTTAAATAAAGTGGCAGTTTTTAACGTGACGTTTGAAGGAGGTATTCAGAGCGATTCCTCATGACTTCCCCCAGAGTTCACAGTGAAGCGAGGCTCTGTGTCGAGCTCTGCCCCGCAGCTACTCCCGCTCTTCACATGATGTCTTTTCTATCGCTCATCCTCCGCCTGTCTCCCTCTGTTCTGTTTCTGTCACTCTTTCTGCCCCGTTCCTCCTCACGTCTTTGTTCTCTCCCTGCAGATGCAAGGTGTGGCGAAGGTGGACGGCGACTCGGAGCAGAAGTTCATCGAGGGGACGTTGGCGGAGGAGCCCAGCCCGGCGCCCACGGAGCCGCAGACACCCATGGACGCAGACAAAGCCTCCATATATCGGTAGAGCTGCTTGTGTTTGTGTGTGAGAGAGAAACATTAACTGTCCCTCCATGTTCTCCTTCTTCTTCTTTCTCCCTCGTTACTTTCAGATTGGACAGAGAGAAATATCAGATGATGTCTGTGAAGTCCTCCCCTTTGTTCATGTGACTGTTTTTAACACCTGTTTGTGTTTCTGTGTGTTGTTCACGCTGTCCACCTTCAGTCTAAACAACTCACACACTCTCAGAAAGCTTCTCTAATGGACAGAGAGCAATCTGTGAGTGTGTGACAGCGTTTGTTTTCAGACTGACAGCCACAACGTGAAGAGCAGAACGGATGAGATGGAGGAAAGTCTGTTGGTTTAAACGATGTTAGAGAGAAAAGTACAAACAGAAAACACACGAGGAGACGTAGAGAGAGAAGTTGTTGAGTCCGTCTGGAGCTTTGAAGAGAGCATACATCCACATAACAGAAATAAAGCTTCAACTAACGTAGATTAAAAGTTCTCCAGGGTTCAACACGTCCTGATTACAACGACCAGATATCTGGAAAACTCTCTCTGTGTCTGAAGGATGATCTGTGTGTCTCGTTTTCCCGCTCTGTGTCTCAGGCACCCCCTGTTCCCTCTCTTGGCGCTGCTGTTCGAGAAGTGCGAACAGTCGACGCTGAGCTCCGACTGCATCACCTCGGCCAGCTTCGACGTGGACATCGAGAACTTCGTCCGCAATCAGGAGAAGGAGGGAAAACCCTTCTTCAGCGAGGACCCTGAACTGGACAACCTGGTGAGACGCAGTGGTTTCTGGGATATTTTATATATTCAGTCGGACAAACAGACGTTAAACACTAACAGAATGAAAAGCTTCTTAAAACCGGCCGACTGGTTCTAATCTCGCCTGTCGGACTCGTTACTGTTTTCTGACACAAGCTGAGGACTGAAGGTTTTAGTTCGGAGGTATTTCACAGAACCAGAACAGGCACCGGAGGTATTTCACACTCCCTCCCTCCCTCCGCGACCTTTAACCTCAGACGTCCTGTTGCTTCTTACCAATTAATTAAAATACTTTCTCCTAACTGCTCAGCGTCAGACTGTGAAGAGGACACGTTCCCCTGTTCCTGTGCTGTCTTTAAGCCGCTGTGTGTTGTTAAACTCTGATCTGTAGATGGTGAAAGCCATCCAGGTGCTGCGGATCCACCTGCTGGAGCTGGAGAAGGTGAGCGACCTGTGCAAGGACTTCTGCAGCCGCTACATCGCCTGCCTCAAGACGAAGATGAACAGCGAGACCCTGCTGAGTGGAGACCCGGGGAGCCCGTACTCCCCCGTACAGGGCCAGGTCCAGGGCTTCTCCCCCACCAAGACTCAGGTATGGACGGCAGGAGGACGGGCAGAATCACAACCAGCTGGATCCGACGCTGACGCTGTTGTTTCTTTGCCTTTAATGCATTCCTCTGAGCAGATTCAGAGAGAACGTCAGGTAAAAACAGCCGGCAGCCTCAAAAACATGCGTATGTGACTCCGGCCTGCTCTCTCTGTCACACAGACCCCCAGCTCTATCTCGGGGACCATCAGTCCTCAGGGTCAAATCGTGGTGCCGGCGTCCGCCCTACAGCAAGGGAACGTTACCGTGACAGCCGTCAACCCCACCCAGGTGGTCGCAGGTATGTCACCATGGCATACAACGGCTCCCTCAGGTACTGACCGACACACACCAGTGGGACGCGCTGATCGGCTTTCTCTGCAGCTCCAGCAGATTATATTAAGCTCTCTGTGTCTCTGTGTGTGTGTGTGTGTGTGTGTGTCTGTGTGTGTGTGTGTGTCTCTGTGTGTGTGGTGTGTG